CCCGACCCTCGTCGCCGCCGCCGTTTCCAGACCTCCGGCGAAGTGATCTGTTCAACATCACGTGGTGGGGCGCGGGGCGCCAAGGATTTTGCAAGAACCATCCTTCGTTTTTTCTCGCGGGGGAGGGCACAGCGCATAGTTCAGGCGGAACACACGCACAAACACACACACACACATACACACAGACACAATGTATCGTCGAGTCACAGGAAAACATGCGAAACTATGGAAAGTGGGGGGGGAACAACAGAAACGCAGAAAATATTTGAAAATATAGGGGATCCTGGGACTCTTGTGTATTTCTTTGTGTGTCCCAGTGCCCCATTAATAAATAGTCCGGAATCTGCTGGCTTCGCGTGCGGCGCCGCATTTTTTCTGGCCTCATCCCCGCTTCGATGCGCGACGCGCTGTCCGCGCCCCAGCCGCGCCAGCGTCCAAGTCTCGAGAGCTCCTCCTCCTCCTCTTCCGCCTCCTCTTCCTCCTCCTCCGCCTCCTCCTCCTCCTCCTCCTCCTCCTCCTCCTCCTCCTCCTCCTCCCCTATGCTGGTGGCGGTGGTGGGCAATCGGCCCAGCCCGCCCCGTGGAGCGGAGCGACACGCTTCCCCCGCGGGGCCGCAGCGGAGCGACGCGCGGAGCCGCGGTGCTCCTTGCGGCAGAGGGCCTCCGCCGCGCAGGGGAGACGACGGAGCGGGGCGGCGGAGGAGGCGCGGGTCGCCCTGCCGAGGGAGCGCGCGGGCCGATCACTACCTTCGGAGGAGGAGGAGGAGGGGGAGGAGGAGGGGGAGGAGGAGGGGGAGGAGGGGGAGGAGGAGAAGGGGGAGGAGGGGAGGAGGGGAAGCTGGGGAAGGAGGGGGAAGAGGAGGAGGAGGAGGAGGAGGAGGAGGAGGAGGAGGAGGAGGAGGAGGCATCGTGCTTCACCCCCCCCCCCGCTTTCCTCGTCTATCTTCCTCCTCGCTTCTTTCCAATGTCCTTTCAGCGCGCTCCCCGCGCACGCAAGGCAGGATGGGCACGCACGCAGGGCAGGACGGGCGCACCCACCCTTCTTCTCGTGCAGGCGTCTTCTATCCCCAGCTCCGCCCGCTCATCCCCGCCCCCGCTCCACCCTGCGGTCCCTCCCCGGGGGCCGAGGCCAGCAGCCGCCGCCGCGGCACCCATGGAGTGGCAGGCCTGGGGCTGGCCACAGGCGGACGGCACCGCGGCCCAGGGCGGCGGGACCGGGCCACACGCGCTGCTGGGAGACCGGGGGAGACAACGATCGGTGCAACGCTCGGGCGGGTGGCCACGGGGGGGGGGGGCCCCACATGGGGGGTGGAAAAAAGGCCCCTAAAGCAGCCCTTTAGGGCCCCTCTTGGAGCTAGCTGGTGCCCAACGGGGCCCCTTTAGGGCCCCTTTTAGGGCCCTTTGCTTCAGCCCCCATGTGGGTCACCCCCCATTTGCCACGCGCCCGAAATGAACGGTCGGGACCTGGCCCATCACGCTTCGGCGCGACACGCTATCCACGTCCCAGTCCCCCGAGCGTCAAGGTCCTGAGCATTGCCGAGCTTCCCGCCCCGCGGAGCGAAGCGACACGCCTTGCGCTCGCAGGGCACAGCTCGTCGCCGAGGCCGCCGTTGCGACACGCTAAGCAAACGTTCCGGACCGTAAGTACGGAAAGGATTCGGGAAACACGCGACAGCATAAAGATAAGTTTTCGGAGATCTGCGTGACGTTCTTGGAGCGGCGCTGGGACCCCCTGGCGGCGCCTCCGCTGGCCCCCCCCAGATCCCCAAGCCTGGCGCGCTCCGCGCGCCAGCGAGAGGGGTCCGGCGCAGACTCAAGAGATCCGCGCGGACCTCGGGAAGGTTATGCTGATGCAAGTTCGTGCGCAGCGCAGCGCACGCATTCGTGCGAGAGGAGCACGAGAGAGGTCGAGGGAACGGAGGGGGAGGAGGAGGAGGAGGAGGAGGAGGAGGAGGAGGAGGAGGAGGAGGAGGAGGAGGAGGAGGAGGAGGAGGAGGAGGAGGAGGAGGAGGAGCAGCAGCAGCAGCAGCAGCAGCAGCAGCAGCAGCAGCAGCAGCAGCGCGATGTTGGACGAAGACCGACAGCATTTCGTGCGCTGGGGGCTGCGCCAGAGGCCCAACCCGGGAGAGTCTAGCGCCCGTCCGAGCAATCCGCGCGGAGGTCCGGCGGGGGAGAAGGGAGGTTGGGGAGGTCCTCCTCCTCCTCCTCCTCCTCCTCCTCCTCCTCCTCCTCCTCCTCCTCCCTCCTCCTACCTGATGGCAGTGGTGGTGGAAAATCGGCCCCTCATGTTCCTCTGGGGTCCCCTGCTGGCCTGCCATTGGCCGCAGGGGGATGGGCACGCGGGTCGTTCTTCTGCCCTCCCACTCCGCGCTGCATCGCCGGGGATGGCCCTCTTGGCTGGGCGGCCAGGGCGCCTTTCAGGCTTCGCTGGACGGGTTGGGCATCGTCGGCGATTGCTTGCCTGACGTAGAAGAAATAACGCCGTAAACATAAACTGTTGGCGCTCCGCGCGGGTTTCTTGGATCCGCGCTGGGCCCCCCAGGCGGCGCCTCCAGCGCCGCCCCTCGGCGCGCTCCGCGCGCCGGGGAGGGAGCTACAACGCGGATCTAAGAGATCCGCGCGGAGCGCCAAAAGTTTATGTTAATGCCGTTTTCATTTCTTCTATGATTAAGTCGGGCGTGTCCCTCTACAGGAGGAATATTCAACAATAGTCCCAAATTTGTATGGTGACGATGTTTTGAGTATTTGCTTTACATGTTTTGAAGATTTTTCGACTCCGTTTCATTTGTCTTCCAAAATCCGCCTGTAGGAGGACAGGCCCGGCCTAATTCTATGACCGTCGGGCATCGGTGGGGCTGCTGGTTCTAGGTTGCTTGGCGCTTTTGGTCTTCATCTGTGGTGTACCTTCTTAAATCCGTCTCTAGTGTCGATTAGCGTCTGAGAGTCGATGAAACAGCGCCGATTTAGCATCGGCTAGCGTCGATGAGCGTCCATGCGGCGTCGGCTAGCCTCGGCTGGCGTCGATTCGCGTCGACTCGTCAGAGCCGACAAAGTGGTATGGGAGGCTCCCGAGAGTTTCTGCTCATGCCGCGCTCTCTTCTTCCATGACCGCTGGGCACTGGCGGGGGTGCTGCCTCGAGGCTGCTCGGCACTTTTGGCATCGCCCGCCGGTGGGGCTCCCTGCCGAGCCGGCAGGCGCGCACCCCCGACGGGGTCGGGCCCGCCCCCCGCCGAGCGGAGGTCGGCGTGTCTTCCACCGGCAGGGCAGCTCTGCGCATCTCCCAAAGGCAGCTCTCCGCTTGGGCTGCGGCAGGTTCACGCGGCGTTGGCGCGCCGGCGACGAGCGCGAAGGCGTTCAAGGTGGAACTCTGCCACGCGTAAGCTCCCCTGGACACGGTGACGACATTGGACCCGGTCGAACTCAAATTTGAAGGATCGGGGGCGCGATCGAGTCAAGGTTGTACGACGCGCGCCGGCGCCGCGCGAACATACCGTAAGTCGGGCCTGTCCCTCTACACGATGGCTGTCCAAAAATAATCAAATAATGATCTCGAGAGGATTTTCCGACTATTCACGTTTGGGGTACGTATTGTTTGTGTGTCGTCCAAAATCCGCCTGTAGGGGGACATGCCCGACCTGGGCCCCGCCGCCAGCCCGGACGGCGAGCACCGATTTGGCGCAGCCATGTGCAACCTCCCGTGCTGTGAGCCACCCGCGGCAGTGCGCCGCGCGTTGCGCCACGCGTGCGCGGCATGGGTCCAGGTGGCGCCCGCCGGGGGCTGCTTCACTGGTTGCGCCACGGGCTGGGCCATCGAGGGGCGGCGTCCCAGGTTGCGCCATCCATGGGTTTTGCCACCCATGGGCTGCGCCACGGGATGCGCCATCGACGAGTTGCGCCGTAGGTTGTGCCAGCGGTTGCGTGGTCCGTCGGGTGCGTCATAGGCTGCGCACGCGGTGGCCGAGCATCCTGCTAACCTCTATAGGTCTTTAGAACCTCCCCGATAGTGGAAACTCCTTATCCTCCCGACGCCCTGGTTTACGGAGTGGGGACCCACCAATAGTGGGACATAGTCATTGTTCTGCGGCACCCGCCGCAGAATAACGAGGACGACTACGACTACGATTGCGACTACGACGACGATTACGATTACGACTACAACGACTGCTACGATTACGTCTACAATCGTGATTCCAATCACGATTACATCCACGACTACAAACACGACTAAAACCACAACCGCTGATCCCGATTGCAAACCCATGAGAAGATGCTCACGCATCCTCTCGCGTGTACGGTAGCCCACAATGAGTTCTTCCCTTGGAGAAAGAGCCCTAACATTATCCAGCCTGGCCAACCATAGAGGGAAAATCGTATCCGCCGCGAAGACGACGATGACGACGACGGCGACTACGATAACGACAACGAAAAAGCAGCAGGAGGAGGGCGAGGAGGAAAAGGAGGAAAAGCAGGAGGAGGAGGAGGTGGGGAGAAGGGGGTCTGTAGCCATTTGGGCTCAAGCCATGTGGCTCAAGCTCGCTCAAGTCCGTTATGGTCCAAGGCAATTGCTCCAGGGGTCCTCCTTTCCAGGCAACGCTCTGCCATCTACATCTCCTTTCGATTTTCGGCCGACGGCGTCAGGTCACCGCTGGGTGAACTCGCTATTGTTGCGATCCCTTCGCGGCGGCATTCGCAGTTTCTGTAATTGGGTTGGGGTGCTCGTGGCAGGTTGGCGCAGGCCAGGGTCGAGAAGCATACATGGGAGGCGAGCAGAGTGGACCACCGAAGGAGCCATCAGGAAGGGCGCTGGTACGTGGCAGTGCCAGGGATGCGGATGCAAGACGACACCGTGGAAGCAATGGTACAGCAATCAATGCAAAAAGGCTTGGAGTGAGAACGACGGGGAGCAGGATGCGGACCCGGCCCCGAAGGAACTCGATTGCCCACCAAGCTTTCCACTGCGAGCTGCTGGGTTTCAGCCACTGGTTGGAGTCACGAGCCAGGAGGTCGCGCTGTCCAAAGCGGAGATCGACAGGGTGCTCCAGCTTGCGACGAAGGCAGGGGACAAGGCCCTCGAGAAGACATACACGGCAATCTTGGGGCACACGAAGAGCTTGGAGTTGGCGCCGAAGGAGGGCCCCCTGCAAGCCCAGGTCCAGGCAGCTCGCTAAAATGCGCAGGGCTTGGAGGCGCGCCAGCAGGCGGAGGTTGGCAAGCACGAGGAACTCCAAACCGTCCTGGCAAAGCAGAACCAGCCCGTGGAGTCCTTCACGAGCCAGCTGGGCCGGGCGGACAAGGAGTACAAGAAGTTGCTGGACCATCTGCACTCCGACATGGTCGGGGGCCAGGGCACAGGTGGCGCGAATCCTGCTCTCCAAGTTACTGGAGGGTAACCTCAGCTGCTTCGACCTTGCGGAGTGCAGCACGCTGTTCGGCCTGGTGGATCCAGCTTTGCATGGGGTCACGGAGGGGGATCGGAAGCAGGCAGCAGACAGACAGGAGAAGATGCGCAAGGGCATCCAGGACCTGGCCAAGGGCCTCTTCGGATTAGCGCAGGAGGTCGCCAACATCCTGCGGAATGGGCATGAGGAGCACGTCAAGCGGATGTCCAGCATGATGATAAGGACAACCCAAGAGACTGACGACACGGCACGAGCGCGTGAAGGCGCACCCGCTGACGCGTGTCCTGGCGCTGTCGATGTTCTTGATGCTGCAGGAGGGCTTGGAGCTGCGGGCCAGTCCAACACCGTGGCTGGCGCCGAGCCTGATGTTGGCCCTCGCCAGTGGAGCTGGCGCAGGCAAAGGGGCCGCATGTGGCGCTGGAGGCGCCGCCGCGGCGCCCGCGGGATTGGTGGCGGGCTGGGCGGGGGAAGGGTCTTCAAGAGTGCTCTCGGGCACTCAGATGCCAGCCAGCACCAGCGCCGAGGGGCCGCGCAGTGCCCCGGCTAGCCGCTCTGTGCCTGTTGGAGTAGAAGTTTGGCCGCCAGCTGCAGCAGATTTCGCTGAGACCGATAAACTGTTGCAGCGCAGTGTGATCGGCTGCGATTGGAGTCTCAGCTGTCCTGTTTTTTTTTTCGCGCCTACAAAAAGGTTTGACGATGCCCGGTGCGACTCGCGCTGGACCGAGGAGGGGGCGCAGGCGGCGCGCGAGGCGCTGCCGCGAACCGAGCATGAGAGGGATCGGTCGGGCGGGGGGAGGGCCCTCGGAGCGCCCTCGAGCATTCATGCTTCAACCTGCGAGCCCAGCGGCAGCGCGCTGCCGGATTTTTTTGTTCTCCCGCCGCCGACTGCCACGTCAATGCCACCGCTTGCGCGGCCTCCGCGCGCCCACCCTGGGCCTGAGATGCCGCGCCCCGGGCGGGGGCCCTCGGTGCCGGCGCGCCCTGGCACCGCTAAGTCCCAAGCCCGCATGCAAGTGCAGGCGCGGCAGCATGTCGAGCCTGGCGCCCGTCAGTCTCGGCCTCGCCAGAAGGTTTCCTTCTTCCATTGAGACGCGCAATCGCACTTGCTGGAAGTCGGCCCGCATCTTGATGGGGGGGGGTGGCGGCGGCCCGCAGCAAGTTCACGGGCGCGGGCGCGCCGCGAACGAGTGTGCGCGACTTGGCTTTTTTCAGCGCAGGCGCGCCTTCAGGTGGGTCAGCGCATGCGTGCCTGGCGGGTTCGTCCCGGGGTCTGTCTACCTGCCGGACTGCGACCCCCTGGGGCCGGAGGGCAGCCGCGTATTCAGCCGCCGCCTGTGGAAGAGGATTCACTGTTTGGGGCTTCCGTTTGTCTTGGAAGGAGATTAAAATTGGAGCAGTTCATCGAGATGGGTTGGGCTTAGAAACTAGGCGGCCAAGTTGCCCGCCTTCCCCCCCCCGCCCCCCCTCCTCGCCTACGCGGGCAAGTCCACGGCGACGGCGTGGAAAACCATGGATTTCTGCGCGACGCTTGCAGGTCTGGCGGCCCGTGGTTGTTCCTGTCAAGACGATGCTGAGAAAGCCCGCGGCTTCACCATATTAAGTTGTCGCAGGGCCTCGCTCGGCCAGCGTCCCCGGCGTTCCAGGGCCTGCGTGGGAGTGCGGAGAGAAGTCGAGACCCGGGGAGTCTGGATGAGTGCTGCGCTTCAGGAGGTCCATGGAGCCGGCGTTTGCGCGAGTGCCCGGGCTCCGGGTCTCTGGCGGAAAGTAGCCATGGGGGGGGCCAACGAGCAGTGTCTGGAGGAGAGTTGCGATCTGGTTCTCAGAACGGATCTACATCTGGGAGAGTGCGTCTGAGCGGGGGAAGGTTTGCACGATGGGTATCCTTAGCGGTTCGTAGGGGCCACGCCAGCTGCGAGGTGATGAACGGCGGGGGGGCTAGGCCGATTTGCGAGCGGGTCATTTTGGCAAGCAACGCGCAGCCCCGCGAGCGAGTGGAGCAAGCAAGCCAGCGCTATTTTTGGCGCGTGGGGTCGGAAGTTCAGCGCGGAGCGGGGCCAGCAGCGGGGATAATGGGTCAATCTGGCTTTTCTCAACGAGGGCGGCCAGACCCGCGAGTTAAGTCAAGTGCCTTTGGGCTGGGTTCCAGAGTCGCCAGCTGCCAGTGAGAAGTCTGACCCCCCCCGAAAAAAAAGGTCCCCCATGGGAACTCAAGAGCAAGCCGATGACATCTACCTGCGCAGCAAGTGGCGCTGGGCCCCCCCCGAGGCGGCCGAGGCCACCCTGGGCCAGATAGAGCGCCTGGCGGGGGAAATGAGAAGTTGGCTCGGGGAAAGGATTGCAGCATTCAGGACCTCTTTGGGCCTCCGAAGTCTCCGCCGCACATCGGGCCCACTGCGCGGCATTGGAAGAACGCCGCGGAGCGCGGGCTCGACGTGCTCAGGCCTGGACACCTCGACGAGGCCGCGGCTGGGATCCTCGAGGTGCCTGGGGAGCTTTGGTTCTGGAACCTGCCCCGCGCCGCTCGCGACTGCGATCCCTGTGGTGCTAAGTCAGCCAGAAGGAGTTGGTTGTTGTCGACTGGTCGGCCTGCTCCCGACCCCCGCCCTCGTCTTCTCGAAGCTAAATCGCCGCGAGATCCGTGCCTGGGAGGCCAGCGTTGCCAGGCCCTACAGGCGCTGAGATGCGGAGTCGCTGGCGGTCGGCAGAGGCCCTCATATATTTACCGAAGGCCTGCGGGAAAGCGCATCGCCATCGCCCTGCCAGAGCGTTGTAAAACACAAGTTTTACTTAGTACCTATCAGGTTGAAGTTGTCGCTGCGCCGCGGCGGCGAGAGGATCGCCAGCATCTCAGGTGCGCGCGCGCCAGTTGCAGAGGTCGACCAAGGCATCCTGGCAGAGCGCGGGGGGGCCGCAAGTCTTTTGAGCTGTCTGGTGATGGGCCTTCTCGACCGCGCGAGGGGGCATTTCGGGGCGCCGGCGTCCGCGACGTCGTCGACGACGCCTCGTTGCAGTCATCAGGTCGTCCGTCGCAGGCCGAGGTCAGGTTTCCGAGGGCAGCCCTTTTTCTTGTCGCGGCGTTGGAGAGGTTGCCGTTTGTCCTTCCCCACTCGAAGGGTTCCGCTCTCAGCGCGCATTTCAGCGCCGGGCAGATGATAATCAGCAAGCTCAAGAGATGGGCTCTGAAAGGGGCGCCTTCGGGGCGCAATCAAGGATCTGACCAGGCTCTGGCTAGGGAGGGGCCCCCGGGGCGCGGGGTCCTGCAGGCCAGACTTCGACGACTGCGGGGACGTAGAGGGCGCGCCCGTGGGCTCAGGAGTTCCAGCAGGGGCACGATGAGATAGGCGCGCTCGGTGGGCCTGGCTGCCGCCGCGCACGGGGCCAGGGCCCGCGGGATGTCCATTGCTAAGACAGGCAGTTTCGCAGTGCAGTGGGGGCCGCTTTCTCCAGGGCCCCGCGGGGCAGACGCAGAACCCTGGTTCATTTTCAGCGCAGAGCCAGGGACCGACCCATCGCACGACGCAAACAATTCACCTTTGCTGCCGCGGGGGCAGGCGATCCGACACCAGTGGGCGCGGCCGCGGGCGATGGAGAGGAGCCCCCAGCGTTTCGCGGAGCAGCCTGCCTCTGACTGGAGCCAGGTTCGCGGGCCCGCAGGGGCCGTCGTGCTCGCGCTCAGGCTAAAATGAGTTGGGGGCGGGCGCCTGGAGTTGTTGCATCGCGAACGCTTGCTTGGCCATCGGTTTCGAGTATATTGGGCGTCGGCATCTCAAGGCGAACTTAGGAAGTTGTTTGGGGACGCCTTGTCCAGGGGCTCGGGTGCGGTCGGATCCAGAGCTCTGAGGATGGCCCCTTCCTGGAGCCTGTGATCGAGCGGCTGCAGGAGTGCAGAGGGAGGGTTAGAGCGCTAGCAGCAGCAGGGCCGGCAGGAGGGGCAGCAGGAGGTGGCCTGACGCAGGGAGTGATGCTCCAGGAAGGGACGGTCGTGGGTAACAGTTGCCGACTGTGCATGTCGGAGGTCGGAACTCAGTTGCACCGTTTCTGCTGTTTTGCGCATGGGCCTTTCATCCTGAATTCTGATGTTGAAGAATGGCAGAGCTTCCCAGTTCAGGAGTGCACGAGAGCGCTGCATGCGATAACCTTGTTTCCGAGTGCAGCTTGGGCGCGGCCCACGCCGCGTCGGCAGGCAGGCTTACTATCGGACGTTGCACCACCGAGTGGAGTTCTGGGGAGAGCGTGCATTAACATATCGGGGATTGACCAGGTTCATTCTTCACTCGCTCGCACTGGCTGGGCCGTCGTTGCAGTCGCAGGTCGTGGCCATATTGATGCTTTGGCTCACGGGCCGCTCCTTCATGTGATTCAGCTAGCATATGCAGGAGCGGTTTTCGCCTTCTTGATGGCCCTCAAGTTGGCGGGCCCCGATGGGGCTCGGGGTGATCGCGGATTGCAAGCTGGTGGAGGGCGTTTGGGAGTTCGGGGCCAACCAGAACCTTGAGGACGTGGCGTTCTCAGAATTCTGGCGGGAGGTCTTTCTGGAGGCGGAGATCATAGGACAGGAATTGGTTAGCGTAGGCGGGGTTCGGTCTCACTTGTCCTTCTGGCAGTCCCGCAGGCATGGAGTGCCTGAGTGGGCCTGGAGGGGGAGCCAGCGAGCCGATGAGCTGGCAAAGCTTTGAGCCCAGTACCATCCGAGCAACCCCCTTATGAAGGCCCAGCTGCAGCACGGCGCCAGTTTAATGAAGTAGTCGACTTGGCTGATCGCTGAAGTCATGATTCTTCGTGCGAACAAGGGTTTCCTTGATGCCATTACGTATAAACGGCCACGTCGACCCAACCGCAGGTCCTTCAGCTTACCCCCGGGCCCAATGCGCATGTACTCGGGAAGGCGGGTGAGCAGTGCAGATGTGCGGCCTGCAGAGAGTGTGGGCGGACGCGGCCGCATGCAGCTCTGACGCTTTGCGGCGGCTTGCCCCGCGTTGCGAAGACCTCTCTCCGAAGTCGCCGTCTCTGGCTGGGCGGGAGGCGGGGGGCTGGGTGCGCCACGCGTGGCGTTTTCGTGCCCTGTCGCTTTCGCTTCCTGCGGATGGAGTGTTCCGTGGGACCTCGCAACAACGATGCCGCCAACGGTTTGAGAATGCTGAGGAGCGGGTCGGCCCGAACTCGGGCCAGAGCTTTGTCGACCCGCCCCTTTGAGGTGGCTTTGTCGAGCTAATAGGGAAACCGCCACCAGCTGACGCCACCGATGTCCTTTTCACTCTGCGCTGTTTGCTCGGCGGTTCCATCGCTCAGCGGCGGCGGATAGCCCTGGAGCCAAACACGAACATACAGGAGCCAACAGGTGGAGGAGGAGGAGGAGGAGGAGGAAGAGGAGGAGGAGGAGGGAGGAGGAGGAGGAGGAGGAGGAGCGGGGAGGAGGAGGAGAGGAGGAGGAGGAGACGACGAGCGAGGAGGGGGAGGAGGGGAGGAGGAGGAGGGAGGAGGAACGAGGGGAGAGGAGGAGGAGGAGGGGGAGGATGAGGAGGGGGAGGAGGAGAGGGGAGGAGGGGGAGGGGGAGGAGGATGAGGACGAGGGAGGAGGGAGGAGGGGAGGGAGGGGGAGGGAGGAGGGAGGAGGAGGAGGGGGAGGGAGGGAGGAGGAGGAGGGAGAGGGAGAGGAAGAGGGAGGAGGGAGGAGGGAGGAGGGGGAGGGAGGGGGAGCTCGGGAGGGAGGAGCGGGAAGCGGGAGTAGGGAGGAGGAGGAAGGAGGAGGGAAGGGAGGAGGGAGAGGGAGGAGGGAGGAGGGAGGAGGGAGCGGAGAGGGAAGGAGGGAGGAGGGAGGAGGGAGGAGGGAGGGAGGAGGGAGGGAGGAGGGACGGAGGGACGAGAAAGAGAGAAAAGGGGGGGGAGGGAGGGAGGGAGAGGGAGGGAGGGAGGAGGGAGGGAGGGAAGGGAGGGAGGGAGGAGGAGGAGGAGGAAGGAGGGAGGAGAGGAAGAGGAGGAGAGGAGGAGGAGGAGGAGGAGGAGGAGGGGCGGAGGAAAGGAGGCGAGGAGGAGGAGAGGAGGAGGAGGAGGAGGAGGGGAGGAGAGGAGGAGGAGGAGGGAGGAGGGAGGAGAGGAGGAGGAGGAGGAGGAGGAGGAGGAGAGGAGGAGGAGAGGAAGGAGAGAGGAGGAGAGGGAGGAGGGGGGAGGGAGGGAGAGGGGAGGAGGCAGGAGGAGAGGAGGAGGAAGGAGGAGAGGAGGGGGAGGAGGAGGAGAGAGAGGGAGGGGGGAGGGAGGAGGAGAGGAGGAGGAGAGATATGAGGAGAGGAGGAGAGGAGGAGAAGGAGAGGAGGAGGAGAGGAGAGGGGAGGAGGAGGAGGAGGAGGAGGAGGAGGAGGAGGAGGAGGAGCAGGAGGAGGGGCAGGAGGAGCAGGAGGAGGAGAAGGAGCGAGATGCTCCCCGCCGAGAGAAACGGGGGGGAACAAAACGAAAGACCTTCTGAGGTTTCTGGTTTTTGGGAATTGTTGCGCACTTTGTGGCCGGAGATCGAACGGCCTGTCACCGTCGGGGCCTAAGAGACGGGAGTCAGTGCAAACCGGGGTCAGCCAGGGCACCCGATCCTGCAGGATCCTGTGAAGACCCCCTCTGGCTGACCCGTGTTATCGAGCCGCTCGTGGCCGCGATGCGGCCGCGCATATTGACTGACCCGGGTTTGCGAAGACCTGCGTTGCAGATTTTTTCTTGCGTTGCAGTTTCTTGGTTTCCTGCTGATCCGGGTCTTGATTGACCCGGGTCAGAAGATCCCGACGCCGGCATTGGCCAGCCTGGCAGAAAGTCAAACCGACAGTCCGCCGGCATCCAGTTTGAGTCGGAGGCCCCCAGAAGGGTCCATTGGACAGGGCTGGCTCCGCCAGACGGGAGGCCCCCCCAGCCCGACCTGAGGCCGCCCAGCTCGACCTGCGGCGCCCCAGCAGTCGTCGAAAAATCACCGCTCTTGAGCCAGACCTGCGCGCCGCTCCTGGTTACCTTGCGAGGCAGCGGGTCGTGCCACGCCCGCAGAGAAATCGGAAAGAGAGATGAAGAGGATGACGAGCTGGAGGAGGAGGAGGGTATCTGCGAGGGACGAAGAGGAGCAGGAGCAGGTGGAAATACGAAAAGGGGCAATGCGAAGGAGGGGTGTAGGATGGAGGGGGGCGGGAGGGGGAAAGGAGGGTGATGACGAGGACCCCTCCATCTCTCTTCATCCTCGTCCTTGTGACGCCCGTAGGGTAGAGGAGAGCGGGGATAGGGCCAATGTTTGTGACAGAGAATGGGCATCAACATCCTTTCTTGGACTACATGAGAACCCCTGCACCCATCCTCCAGGCAGCCCCTCAAAGCACAACGTCATCGGAGCTCCAGAGTTCGTGTTTACAACGTGTAAAGTTTGTTTACAACGTGTAAGTGCTGTTCGGTTGAAGTTGGTTGGTTTCTGGTTAGAAATGCGGCCTAAACACGTGTAACGTGAGCGGCTAGGACGCCCAGAACAACCCATGACCAACCAGAAAGCAACCAGAAGTCAACCAGATGCACCTACATGGTGTCAAGCCGATCTCGGTTGGCTTGTGGTTCGTTCTGGTTGGAAATGGGGCCAAAACCCGTGTAACTTGGCTGGCGGGTGCCTGCCAACCAGAGGCAACCAAAAGCCAACCATAATCGTTAGTTGGCCGCGGCTGGCCGGCTGACTGGCTGGAAGGCCGGCGGGCTGGCGGGCTGGCTGGCTGGCTGGCTGGCTGGCTGTCTGGCTGGCTGTCTGGCTGGTTTGCTGGCTCGCTGGCTGGCTTGCTGGGTGGCTTCTGGTTGACTTCTGGCTGGCTGGCTGGCTGTCTGGCTGGCTGGCTGGCCGTCCGGCCGCCTGGCTGGCTGCCTGGCTGGTTGGCTGGCTGGCCGGCGGGCTGGCTGGCTGGTTGGCTAGCTGGGCCCTGGTTGACTTCTGGTTGACTTTTGGCTGGCAGGCTGGCTGTCCGTCTGGCCGGCTGGCGGCGGCGGCGACGACGGCGACGACGACGGCGACGACGGCGACGACGACTACGAGGACGACGACGACGACGACGACGACGACGACGGCGACGGCGGCGGCGGGTTGGCTGGCTGGCTGGCTGGCTGGCTGGCTGGCTGGCTGGCTGGCTGGCTGGCTGGCTGGCTGGCTGGCTGGCTGGCTGGCTGGCT